TTGAGGCTGGCCCCGCTCTGGCCCCCCCAGGCAGTGTGGGGCCAGGGCCAGTGTGGGGAGGCAGCCAGGGCCGGGGCTGGGGCTGGTGCGGGGCTGGGGGGCGGTGGATTTGTTGGCATGGGGGGCGCCAGCACCAGACAACGACCCCAGGCACAGGGGAAGGAGTGGCCACACAGGCGCAGCCCAATCCTGGGCCCGGCTCCACTCCAATCCCTCCCAATCCCGGCCCCACTCCCTCCCCTGCCCCTTCCCCTGCAGACTTTCCTGCCTGGGGGCAGGCACATGCACACATGCACGCACGCACTCAGCCCTCCTCCCCCTCCCAATTTTTTTTCTCCCTCCGCCTATGGAGCCAGCCTTCACTGCTCTGGCCAGGGAGCAGAGGGGTGGAGCCAACCCTGCTCTGCTTGAGCAGTCAGCACAGCACAGCCCAGGGCTGCAAAGCATCCTGGGATGCTGGGGGGCTATGATTTAATTTGAACTAGGAGGTCACTTCCAACCCTAATTTTCTATGATTCTATATTGACAGTATATAACACTTTCACAGAAGTTGCCAGGGAGGATGCTAGAATCATTGTCAGATGGGTAAGTATCTCATAGAACTTTGGGTGTCCAGGACACGGAGGTACTTCGAGATTATGGGATGGCTACACTATCTGTGTATTTCTGCTAGCAGGATGAGTAGTGAAAGTTAACTTTGACATTTAATTTGTCACCATTAGTCTTCAAAATTAACACTCCAAGAAAGTAATAGAGAAGTTCATGCCTCAGTTACTGTTTCAGGATGACTGTAGGTTCAGGTAGACATTCTTGCCTTGGGTCAAATTTAGGATTTTTTCTTTGCAATTCTAAGGGATAGATACATACAATGTTCAATTAATGAAAGCTGAGATTCCTACTAAGGAAACTCAGTCTTACTTAAGTCCTTAGTAAGACTCTAAGTGTCCTTTTAACATTACGTCAGCTGGTTTATTCAGGCCAGTCACTAATCCCAATGAGGTTATGTTTCTTGTATTTGAAGTTCTTTGGAAAAATGACATGAGAATTTAGTGCTGAAGCTGATAGAATTTCTTAATGACACTATCTGTGCAAACTGTATTCTTATTGCAAGATAATGTGAAGGACATACCATTTTCCTTGCATCAAGCTGTGCTTACTCTCTGCTTTAATTTTATTTCACTTTTGTCATTAGAAATAATGAAAAGGTGCTTAGAGAGAATATAAACAAGGGGAAAGATCAAAATGTGATTTTGATAAAATGCTACTAATATAGACAGGGGAAAAATAATCTGGTACCAAATACCCAATGGAATGATGAAATTTGGCAAGCTGGAATACTGTAAGAGGGGAGATAGCAATCATATCAGAGAAGGGAGGTAACAGTCTCTCTTTGAGGTGGGAGTGCAATACATCTGAGAGATTTATTCACTCTGGCCCCAGTAATGACTGCATAGTCAGCGTCTCGTGTAGATGCGGCCTCTGTCACGAGAATATTTGAGTACCTTGTACATAAAAACAGTAGCATTACAAATTCCGTAGTGGACTTCATGGATTCTTCAAAACTTTGCCTTGGGAACATGGTGTTTTTTTGTTTTCTTATGTTTGTGTCTGTTCAGTTGATTTATTTCACATTTTTGAAAAGGAGGAGGTGAGTTTGGACAAAAGGAAATATCAGTGTTGAGTGAAGTCTTTCCAGAAGTGCTGGTTGTAGCCATGTTGGTCTAAGGACATAGTCAGACAGGGTTCTTTGAATTTACCCAAAGAACCTTGTCTTTCCAGAAGTGAACTTCTGCAGTATTTCTTAAATGGAGTGAGAATGGCTTTGCCTGTTCACCTCTACACGTATGTGCCAAATTCAGATGTCCACAGCAATTAATACTTTGAAGAGACCGTGCTTTAAACTGGCACCTGAAACTGTCTGGAAACCAAGAGAGCATCTGGATCACAGGCCAGATGGAGATGGTGGAGGGCCTAGAGCTTGTGTGTTATCTAATCTACAGTGAATTACAATAATCCAGCCTGGATACAAATTTATACAGCATTATTAGCAGGTAATTATGTAGTTGGTGGACAAAAGTTCCTAATGAGATGCAAATGAAAGAAGACAGTTTTAGATGCTGGTACTACCTGTTCACCCACACTATGAGAATAATCAGACAGAACACACTCTTTAAGAGTCACCGTGAATTAGGTATATGATTGCCTCCCTCCCACCTAGGTTTGGTAAACATCAGCGAGGCTTTTCAACAAGGTTATTCGATTCTCTTGCTGCCAGAGGTGCATCTTGTCTCATCTGTGCCAATCTGTAGGCAGCTCTTAGTCTGAGCAAGGGCCCTGTTAACCCTTCTTCCTCCATGTACACGCTAGGCAGGGAAGCTCAGGCATGCAACATTATTACTAAATGAACGCACACAACCCAGAAACATTACAAAAACACAATAGCCTGTGACCAGAGCTCAGTCTTCACATCTATGCAGTGTTATTTTCTTAATGCCATTTCAGGGTAACAGCTTTGCAGTCTTTATTCAGCTGAGGTAATCTCCTTAGGCCTGGGCTCTTGGGTATGTATAGAAATGCTCCACGCACGTTTTACAGTGCTGTAATTTAGAACACTTTTTATAGCACTATAAAGTTACAGCACTCTGAAACATGACAGAAGTGCAGTTGTGTGGGGGGGGGGGCGCTTTAGTTCAAAAGTGCATTGCTGCCATTTTCTCCGTGCTGATGTGCATTTTGTTGCTTATACAACTGCATGTGGTGCAGCGCAATTTGCCTCAGCTCGTGTGCGGAGCAGACTCAACTTATTTCAAGTCTCTTCAGAAGCAGCGGATGTCCATTGTATTGTGGGACAGAAAAGTATGTGTATAAATGCCCAGGGATGTCTGCTGATAATACCTGGAAATCTTAAGCTAAACTCTGTCTCAAATTCTTCAGGTACATTATCCTTCCTCCCTGCTTCTTAGGAGCTAAATGGGCTGTAATGAGTAGAAGGAAATGAAGATTCATGCGGGCTGGTTTCCCTTATATGGAATCAAACAGAGGGGAACAGCGCAGCTCTGTGCCCGAGGTAGCTGTGTGATGCCCAAGGCAGTGCTGGCTACCACAGTGCTGCAGCGATTTTTGCAATCCCCACTCTCCCCACAACAAAGGCAGTGCCTGGGCCTGCTGCCCTGGCTGCCTCCGCCATTTCAGGTACATTACTGCTTGCAGAGCGCTCTCGGGCTTTGTGAAGCAATGGCGCCTTTCCGGAAAGTTCCAAGCTTGCATGGAGGAGCAGGGCTAGGCCGAGAGTGCAGTTCCTTTACTTTTCTGCTCAAAATGCACCGCTGTTTCGCCAGTAAGGAGGCTCAGAAAAGGTCCTTTTTGTCCCAAAGGGGAGACACATGTGAGAGTTATTGTCAAATGGAAATGGAGCAGCGCTGACCCGTGCTTGTATACTTTTTCATTTACACTGCTAGCACAGATGGCAGTTACACCAGCTTTCTGTGGGAACTCAGGACACGGGGTTTTGGGGGCAAAGGAGAAAGAAGCATTTTAGTATGCTTTGCACTGCATCAATCCCCGCGAATCAAGTGGACTCCATGGACAGAAAACAGTCTTATTTACATACAGTCACACTCTTTATTACTACAACTCTTGACATTTGAAGACACAATGACAACATGTATAACTGCCAGCTTTCTCAATATAATATGTATGTAATACAAATTGATTTCGAGGTTGTTAAGAACATTGCTGTAGCTTTATGAGAGTGTTTTTTTCTTGAAACACATGGCTTAAGACAAACTACTGGAAACCTGAGAAAAAGCAGCTTGCTAAGTAGAAGGAATATTTCACCTGAAAGTGTGTTTAAATCTACTTTTTATCAACCTGCCATCTGAGAGTTTTAAACTATGGGTAAAAAGAGTTTGGTATTTCTTTGTAAGCACTGTTTTGTGTTAGGAGAAAGTAAAGTAGCCAGTTTGGGAATCCTGAGTTATACAGGTGTACTAAAAGCTGCAGGGAGCAAGTCATCTCCCACTTTAGTTCAGGTTATAGCTGTCCTGGGAGACTTCAGTATGTGCTTAATACTCTGTGCATGAGAAATCCTGCCAGAGCCTAAGACTGCTCAAGTGCATGAAGTTATGTATATGCTTAAATCTTTGTAGGATTAGGGCCTATGAATTAGGTGAGCAGATGCTCACAGCTGCTTCCAAAAGGCAAATTCTTATAGCATGATGAAGTCTTTTAAAACTTTATTTTCAATTTCAGCTTCAAGGGTTAGTTGTTGCGTTTGTTGCATCTCCTACTGGGAGTATAGTCGATTTCTTCCTGTTCCTATTGCAATCACAACACTGTCTACAGTATCAAGACAAAGCCTTGACTGGGATGATCTAGTTGGGGATGGTCCTGCTTTGAGCAGGAACTTTGGACTAGATGACCCCCTGAAGTCCCTTCCAACCCTAATTTTTTCTAAGAAAAAATTCTAAGGGTTGGAAGGGACTTCAGGGGGTCATCTAGTCCAAAGTTCCTGCTGTGATTCATACTTCTGTGATTTCTAAGAAGTATGCTTGAAATTGAAAAGCATTTTTTTTTTGTTTTGGTAACTTTAAAAAAGCCATACTGAATCTCTTGTTCAAAGCTAATGTTTCAGGTTTCTAACCTAAGGAGTAAATTAAGATTTTTACTTTCTCAAACAGGTTGTATAGAGTTTGTTTGTGCAACCCTAAATTAAAATAAGTAACAAAAGCAGATTCTGGGTCAGATGCTGACGGCAATTTCTCTAGCCGATTTGCTGCACTTTCTCTCATCCTTTATGTGGCCAAAGTGTTCTTGTGATGATGAGTACTGAGTGTTCTCTAAATGGTACATTTCAAATGCATACATGCCAACTCCCCTCCCCAGCTCCCTCACATTTTATTTTTGCTGTGGATTTCTGTGCAACTCCTAAAACATTTTGAAGATCTGAAATGTCTCACTGCAGTCACTTCACTTGAAGGATTTTTTTCCCCTTTTACCAGTGACGTCTCCCAGACAGATATTGCTGCTCTTCCAACAAAAGGATTGGAAAACCTTAAAGAACTCATGGCAAAATATACATGGACCTTAAAGAAACTACCCCCTGTGAAAACATTTTCTCAACTAATGCGAGCTTACTTGTCCTACCCAAGCCACTGCTGTGCTTTCAAGAACTGGAAGAAAACGAAAGGGTGATTTTTAACAATTTATATTAAAACTTTAAAATTAAATGCTTAAAGGAAGATTGCCTAATATTTTATTGTCATATAATTTAGTTAAAGGGTTTCAAGCCAATTATATAATAATACATTCAATAAAACTGATTGTTTATAGATTTAAAACTGATCAAAATAAATATTTTTTCATTTGATGAATATTTACCTTACAAAATTAATTGCTACAAGATATCTTAGAGAGCAGCAGCCAGGAAGAATAAAAGAAAAGGATATAGAAAAAGGAAAACCAGAAGTTTTGGAAGGGGTACAAAGCCTCATCCATCTTCTAACAAAGGGGAAAAAGGATGCTTCCTTGTGGACAGGTTATTACATAATTGCTTTCTGCAGGATTTGTTGCCTCCTCTGATAGTCTAAAACATCTGGGTATTGTTGAAGAGATGTTGGAAGAAAGGAATCACTGATCTGATCTGATCTAGTATGGCTATTATTCTCTTGTTACAAATACTTTTTATCTTTATTATAATTAGTGATAAGCTGTTATTGAAGAGTTCAACTTTGGATCCAAATGCATAGATTTAAGGTGTTCAGAGCCAATCTCTGATAAATGAAACAAAAATCATATCAATTTTTTCATAATATTTGTAGGGTGATTCTCACTGTATTGTATAAGAGATGGGATTGATAGTATATTTGGTGAGACTCACAAATTATATTAGGTCAGGGAAGAGTTTCAAACAACTTTGAGGACAGAAAATTAAATCACTGTAGCCTAGATAGACTATAAATATGGACAGAAAGGAACCAAGTGAGATTCGCTGTTGTGAAATGCAGTAAACACATCTGGTGAACGACAGCCTGAAACACTAACCCAGGTGACAGTGATTGGCAACTTAAAACCAAATTTTCAATGTGCTATTCTAGCCTAAATCTGCTAATGTTATTTGGGGCTACCAACACAGTGATACTGTGTCATGAAGCTAGATTGAAGTGTCTCTCTGGTCAGACCAGAAAACAAGATCAGCTTTAGATGCTATATTTCTAGGAAGCATTAGACCAAATAGAGGAAGTACAGAGAAGAGCACCAAAATGAATAAGGGGCTGATTCATGGGTAAAAAGAAAAGAAGGCAACATTGTCTGCATTAATTAAGAAGTTATAAACAACAGATATGATGCATCTGTGAATACTTGAAGGATGTAAACCCAAAGAAGCAAGAGGAAGTATTTACGGTGTGAAAAACAGTTACACTAAAAATAATTGGCTGAAAATAGGAAAGGAAAAAAATCATCCTATATAACAGTAAAATCCTCCTGATCAGAAATATATTAGATTGTGGGAAAGATTCTCATGGGAAATAATAGAAATCTTAGCCCTTGGTATTTGTGAGTAGAAAGAAGAATCTATTTTTATGGTAAACTATATAAAAGCAACAAGAACTCAAATGCAGAAGATTGCAGTGTTGTATATCTGTCTACTTGGATTAAAAAGAAAAAGAAAAAAACCCATGTTCTACGTCTTTTATTGTTTAAAATGTATCTGACAGAATTCTGGATTAAATCCAGATTAAATTATTCACAACTGTTCCCATGTTGCCGGTCGTATTAAAGCTAAACCGCAGTTTCCAGTAGTGATTTCACCCCTGTTCTTTTTCAGAGTTCCGGAATACCTGATGTGTAACCAGACCAGCAGTTATAACGTCCGTAAAAGAAGATCTGTAAGTGCCTTTAATGGTCCTTTTTACCAAGACTATGCAGAAGGAGATACAGAGCACACTGAGGCGGTGTATGACAAAAACTCCAAATTCAGGGATTTTTATGGCAATTCCCACTACTATGTCTTTTTTGAAGAGCAGGGGGATGGAGATGTTGGATTTGGCCAAGAAATCAAGAACCCTCAAGAGGAAAATGCCCAGGCATTTGACAGTCACTATGACTATACTGTCTGTGGGGGCAATGAAGAAATAGTATGCACCCCAGAGCCTGATGAGTTTAATCCCTGTGAAGACATAATGGGGTATACATTTCTAAGGATTGTGGTTTGGTTTGTGAACCTCCTTGCCATCTTGGGTAATATTTTTGTCCTGTTCATCCTTCTCACCAGCCATTACAAGTTGACTGTCCCACGTTTTTTGATGTGCAACCTGGCCTTTGCAGATTTCTGCATGGGACTGTATCTTCTTTTGATTGCTTCTGTGGATCTCTACAGTCGGTCAGAGTATTACAACCACGCCATAGAGTGGCAGACAGGGCCTGGATGCAATACAGCTGGCTTTTTCACCGTCTTTGCCAGTGAGCTTTCTGTGTATACCCTGACTGTAATCACCCTGGAGCGCTGGTATGCCATCACTTTTGCCATGCGTCCAGACAGGAAAATTCGTCTCCGGTATGCATTGGTTGTCATGCTGGGTGGTTGGCTCTCATGCTTTCTTCTTGCTCTCTTGCCAATGTTTGGAGTCAGCAGCTACACTAAAGTCAGCATCTGCCTACCTATGGATATTGGAACACCCTTGGCTGAAGCCTACGTTGTCTTTGTTTTGATGTTGAACATTATTGCTTTTATCATCATCTGTGCATGCTACATCAAAATCTATATCACTGTGCGAAACCCTCACTACAAGTCAGGAGACAAAGACACAAAAATTGCCAAAAGGATGGCAGTGTTGATTTTCACTGACTTCCTGTGCATGGCACCTATCTCATTCTATGCTTTATCTGCCATTATGAACAAACCCTTGATAACAGTTAGCAATTCCAAGATCCTGCTGGTGCTCTTCTACCCACTGAATTCTTGTGCCAACCCCTTCCTCTATGCTATTTTCACCAAGGCTTTCCGAAGGGATGTCTTCATCCTACTTAGCAAGTTTGGCATATGTGAGCATCAGGCTCAAATCTACAGGGGTCAGACAGTCTCCACCAAAAACAGCAGTGTTTTTTATGGCCAGAGAGGCAGCCGAGGAACAGCTCAAGTTCTTACAAACATCCACAACCCACAGGGTGGCTACCATTTGGCAATGGCAATGCCAGATCAAATTGTTATGGAAGACTGGAAGCTTACTGAATTATAACATCTGGAAGCATCACACCTGCAGTGAGGCTAGATTCATAACCAAGATAAAAACATTAATAAGATGCAGTTCTTTCCTAGCTGTGGTGGTTTTTGAGGTACCTCAGAAAGGATTTAGGTTTTTCTTTTGAGTGTATCATTCACCTGAATCTCCAGTCTTAAACCACTGTCAGCATAAAACAAGGTCCAAATTATGGTGATGAAATTGGAAGCTAATGTAAAAACTCCATTTATGCTGCAGGGGGTGTCAAAGATCCAGTCTGCAGAACCCCATTGTCTGGACCCCAGTGCTGCCTCTCGGTCCAGAGTTGACTCACGCTGTATGCAGTGCACACCAGACTGGCCCAGAGTGCAATGCCTGGCATGTGTGCTGCACATAATGTCTGCCCTGGCTGAGCCAGGGCCCATGCTACATGCCACATCCAACCCAGTAAGTCTTGGACATGTGCCACACCTGCCCCAGATGGTCCAGATCACATGCATGCATGTGGCATCTCCTCCAGCCAGTCCAGGATCTGCATTGCATGCAGCACCCCCACCCTCCACAGCTGTTCTGAGCCGGGAACTGTATGCACTGGTCAGATCAAGCACTGCATGCAGCATGCATTCTGGACTGGCCCTGTATGGGCACCATGTACAGTCCTGGACTGACTGGAGCTAATACCGCATATGCTGGATCTGGCATGCATTGGAGGGGTGGATGGTTCTGTGAGTCCAGTCTGGCCATGGATCATTCATCCATCCCTGCACCACCACCACTCATCCAGCCCACAGGACCAGATGATGTTGATACCCCTGGACAGGGTGATCCCTAGGGGGGTGGTGAATCGGGGCAACTGCCTCAGGCCCTGCAGTTTGGGGGGCCCTGTGGACAGTGCCGTACAGGCCTGACCACAGCCACCACACACCACCACTGCTGAGCATCGCCAGTTCTGCTGCTAAGTTCTGCAGGCTCCAGCCGCTCACCACCCACCTCCTCCAGGCCCCTCACGGGCTGATATGCCCTGGGCCCCACACACCCCTAGGGACGGCTCTACCCCTGGGTTATATAAAATAAGTGGAAAGGAAGACTCAGCAGAAACTTTGGGTAGGTTTTGTAAATGTATAATTATAGTGGAGTTATGATAGAAAAGCAAAAATTATGTTGTGAATTTCTCAAATTCCAGATCAAACTGGCATGTCTGGGATCAGGCATGTCACGGTCGGCAGGGCTAACCGGACCTTATCGTGCATCCATAGGTGCATCTCAAGTAGGTCCAAGGAGGTGATCCTCCCCCTCTATGCGACACTGGTCAGGCCACAGCTGGAGTACTGTGTCCAGTTCTGGGCACCACACTTCAAGAGGGATGTGGACAACATTGAGAGGGTCCAGAGGAGGGCCACCCGCATGATCTGGGGACAGCAGGGCAGACCCTACAATGAGAGGCTACGGGACCTGAACCTGTTCAGCCTTCACAAGAGAAGGCTGAGGGGGGACTTTGTGACTGTCTATAAACTCACTGGGGGGGGACCAGAAGGGTTTGGGGGAGACCTTGTTTCCCCTAGCGCCCCCCGGGATAACAAGGAATAACGGCCACAAGTTGTTGGAGAGTAGGTTTAGATTAGACATCCGTAGGAACTACTTCACAGTTAAGGCGGCTAGGATCTGGAACCAACTTCCAAGGGAAGTGGTGCTGGCTCCCACCCTGGGGGTCTTTAAGAATCGGCTTCATGCCTACCTGGCTGGGGGCATTTGAGCCCAGTTTTCCTCCTGCCCAGGCAGGGGGGCGGACTTGAAGATCTACAAGGTCCCTTCCGACCCTACTTCTATGATTCTATGATGTCAGAAGGTTGATTTGTCTTTCTAACTGCCAGCTTCCTGAACTCCTTTTGGGACCCAAAAGGCAAATGGGATTCTGTCTGCTTCTACCATCAGCACCTGTAATTGACACAGTGTAACTGGAACTTGGTTCATAGTTTTGTTTAAGATATGGGAGGCAGAATAGAACTGAGCTGGTTTTTCCGTCACTCATGTTGCTGCTATAGTGCAAAAAAAAACCCAAAGCATCAAAGAAACACCCCCCAAAACAGTAAAGTTGTTGTCATCATCATATGTATGTCAACTGGTAGCAGGTATTTGAGCTTTTACCTTTATCCTAATGTGTTGATCAATATGTCACTCATTTTCAAGTAAGTCTGATTTTTGGATGATGGGTTTAAAGGGAAATTTGCTTCACTTTCTTCTGGAGACTAAATCTGTCCAAGCCTGATGGGTTCTGATCCCTGGCTTAAATAATTTGTTTTAGTAGCTGGAAAAACTCAAAATTCTGGTACAAGCTAAAATTAAGCATTTGCCCCCACAATTCTTTATTGGCCCTATATTTGGCCTCTGTTTGGTCATCTGCATATACTTAATTATATAAATAAATTTAATCACAGTTAGTTGTTGCACAGTAACGCACGTGTAGATGCGACTCGGGAGCAAATTTGCTCCCAAGTCTGCCCAGCTACTAGGGAGTCGCCCTGAGGCCAACCCTAGGTCTGCAGCCTAGGAGCTTCTCTTGCTTTAGGGCTGGGCTGCCTGTATGTCAGCCCCTGCCTGAAGGCAATAAAAGCATGGAGACATCTTGTGCCCTGGAGCACACAGCACATGCAGCCTGCAGGCACTCCAGGCCCTATGTGTCCCCCTGGGCAGGCCACAGCCCTGCTATGCCTGCCTGCCAACACCCCAGCACTGCTGCCTGGCACTGCACTGCCTTGCAGCTGACAGGACAGGGCAGTGCAATTAGGGCCACCTGCATGCTGAAGGGTGCTCCAGGCTGCTGCAGCACCTACCCAGCCCTGTCAGCCCTGCAGGGCTGCTTTCTGGCAGCAGGGCCAGCACCACCTGCCTGCAGTATGCCTCCAGCATCCTGCCCTGCACCTGCAGGTGCTGCAGGGCATAGACCCTGCTGTGCAGTTGACTGTCCCACACTGTGCTCCTGCACTGGGTACTGCTGGCAGCTGCCCAGCACCGGCAACACTGAGACAACCCTACGGGGGCCCAGAAAGCTGGCACAGGGCCCAGCAAGGCTTCATCCTCCCTGTCCAGACTGGGGATCACATGCATGCGCATGCCTGTGCCCTCCACCCAGGGCCCCAACTGAAGCCAGGTGGAGACTGGCTACCTCATGGCATTCTGGGGTGAGGCAGAGGTGCTGCTCCCATTTGAGTGGGGCAGGTGCTCCAATGCCCAAATTTCTGAGGCCCTGTTGGGTGGGATGTGGGAGCAAGGGCATGACCAGTTAGCACAGGAGTGCTGCATAAAGGTCAAGGCCTTGCAGTCAAAGTAGGTCTCCATGACCAACCACAACTGTTGGTCCAGCCGTGCCTACAAGACCATGTTCTTTATGCAGCAGCTGACCAATATTTTGATGCCTCAGGATCCAGGCCACAACTGTGCAGTTGATACCAGCATGGGAAGCCTGCCCAAGCCCCCACTCCACCCTGACACCTCTGGTGACATGTCACTAGAGAAGGGACCCATGGGCATGCAGCACCCCAACCTGCCCAGCTCCCCAGCTGCAGCCTCCACCAGCAGGTTGGGGAGCCCTGGCCAGCGCCTGCTTCACCAGTTGTGCAGCCCCAGAGCCAGCCATGAGGAACGGCCAGCCAGGATGTGGCTGGTGACCAGCAGCACCAGCTCCTCCCTGGGGGCGGGAGGCCCCCAGCCAGGTGCCCACATGCTGTGCCCCATGTGCCAAGGACACCAGGCACAGCTGCACGCCTTTAGCAGCTGGGAGGACCACACTGAGCCACCAGCCATGCCAGCCCTGGACAAGTGGTAAGCCCTGCACTAGGGAAGGGCTGCCCCCACCCCAGCCCCTGCCCCCAACTCCAGCCCCTGCCTCTGCCCCTGTCCCCCCCTTCCTTGCCTGGCCTACCCACTCCCCTGGCCCTGGGTTCCCCCCTACAGGATACAAAGAGGTGGGACACAGTACAAAAATGTATTGAGCAGCCCGTGCCCCCACAGTTGGGCAGGCACAGATGTCTCATACCCCGAGGAACTCATTGGTGCTGGCAGCAATGTTTTTATCAGCAGTGGGGGGCAGAGATGTGTAGTGCTGCCACAGGTAGCCCTCCAGAGGATGGCAGAGGTTGTGGGGCAGCCTGGACTTGCCCCTGTGCCATCATAGCTCAGGGTCCCAAATCTGGAGTGCAGGTGTGCCCAAGGCACCATGAGGATCAGCAGTATCAGGATGTGGTGGATCTGACATCCCTCGGCCCACTCAAACAGCTCATCATGCACCAGCCGGGCCACGTGCAGTAGGGGCACGCTTGGGGCACAGTGGCAGCATGGTGGGGGGCTGGCCTTGGGGCACCTCCCCAGAGAGACCCCCAGAGAGGAGTGGGGGCATGGCCAGTTCCTCATCCCAGTTGTCTGGGAACCCCAGGCCTCCCCCAGCCCGGGTGCCATGGGCTGGGTGACAGCGCAGTACAGTGGTTGGCCTGCAGGGGGAGGAGGGGGAGTGGGATCTGGACCTGTGGCAGGAGGTGTTGCCAGGAGCCTGGCCTGTCCTAGCCTGGGAACCTGGGCAGGGGAGGCAGGCTGCCTGCGGCCAGCACCCAGTGGCTGGCCAGCACCCAGTGGCCTGCCAGCTCCAAGGGAGCACACAGGAACAGGGAATTTGGCTGGCAGCCGCCTAGGCCCAGGCCTGCCCAGCCCAACTTGCCATCATCCCTGGGCACCCATGCATGGCCAACCCCCTATCTGAGACCAGGCAGTGCAAGGCTCCTGGTGCAGAGCATCTTATCTCTGAAATGTTGCAAACTCACAAAAGGTTTCTGTCTCATGACTCTGCAGGTCCAGCATCTGGATGCAGGGGAGAAGCCTCAGTGGTCAGTGGGGATGCTGGCTCAGGGTCAGTGCTGCCCACCACTGGGGCCTCCAGATGCATCAGCTGCGCTAGAGGTGCACACAGGACCAGATCCTCTTCCTCCAGTAGCTGGTGGCAGTGGTAGAGGAGCAGGAGGAGAACGCCCAGGCCTGGCAGGCAGAGGACGTGGCCCACCAGGAGAGGTGGTGGGCGGAGGTCATTGCCCAGGAGGATGTGTGGGACTGGGCCCACCAGAAGTTCCAGGCTGAGTTCCTGGCCCTGGAGTGAAAGTGGATCCAGGTCCTGTGAAAGAACACCATTCTGGGCCAGGCAGTGCAGGCCACAGATGATGACTGTCAGGTGCTGGATACCATCTTGGGCCTGGCAGTCTCATTTGTGCGCGCTGCTGCCCGGCCCCCATCCCTAACCCCAAAGGCCCCCTGACAGCCATCTAGCACCCTTCAGCAGGCCCTGACCTGGGCCTGGGAGTAGATCCTCCATTGCCTCCAGCCCCTGCCCTGTGTCTGCCACCACCCAACCCCCCTGGCCTGCTGCTCACCCCAGCTCCACGCAGGAGCAGCCAGCAACATGGACACGACTACATGCCAGCCTTGCTGGCCACGGACAAGCCCTGGCAGAGGGGGAGTTGCCCATGCCAGGGGACCAGTGGCTGCCATCACCGTGGGGTTTGCCCCTTGCACACTCTGGCATGCACACCCACAAGGGAAAAGCCAGAGGCCAGGGTGCTGGGCACCTGTCCCCAGGCTCTGCCCCTAGGCACCCCCGCCCCCCCATGCCCCCTCTTCCCTACTCCAGGACACCAAAAAACCACTTTGTAAATAGCTTTCACTGGGAAGAGGGTTTTTTGTTGCTGGGGTGGGGGGATGGTGGAGGAACCCTGTTGGGAAGGGAAGGGAAGGGGAAGGAGGCTCTGTGTTGAGGAGGGAGGGGGAGTGGTAGGGGATGTGTGATGTGAAGGGAATAAAGACTTGTTTGGATATGTGTCTGCAATGAGAGTGGTACTGGGTAGGGGGTCTGTACCCATGGGACAGGGGGGCTAGAGTGGGGAGTGCAGGAGGAGCTGGACAGCTAGAACTTCCTGCCCTGTCCCCTGCTGGTGGGTGCATGTCTCCTGTCACTGCTGGTGGGTCCAGTGCCCTGTCCCCTGCTGGTGGGTGTGTGTCTCCTGGTGTTTCAGCTGGGGAAGGGGGCTACTGCTGCTACAGGTCACCGCCGCAGGTGGTGCTCCCACCACCAGGTGTCATCTGCCCACTGCGCCTCCTCCACCCAGGCCTCATGGAACAGCTCCTCTGGGCCTTGCAAATGTTATGCAACATACAGACTGCAATAGTGACCCAGGGGAGGTTGTTTTTGGTGACCTTGAGGTAGGCGGTGAGGGTGTGCCAGTGGCCCTTGAGGTGACTGAAGGCGCACTCGACAAGGGCATGAGTCTGGTCCAGAC